ATTCGTACCCACGCAAAGCCACTCAGATTGTCTCAAGACAGCCATTGTTCAAGCAAAACCAGCGCCGAAGTTACAGGAAAAAAAGAGACCACCAGAGCTGCAGAGTTACATAACATCTCCCCGCCTTCTTATTTATGTGTGTGTCTCTCTCTCTTTCTCCTTTTGCTTTTCACCAAGTCTGACTACCACTTCCAAAGTAGCACCAGATGTTTACCGGTCAGTCTCCATGGTGATTACAGCCAAATGTTTCTGCCTGGTCATTATAGAGACTTGCAGTCAGTCACACGCTCACAGCAATAATTTGATCAGGAATAGACTTGAGAAGAAAAAAAGAGTATACTGCATATACGAGAGAGTTAAACTGCATCATTCATATCAGACGTTCCTGATGTTTTCCAGATGTTTCATAATAATAATTAGAGGAAGTGCTCCGGGTTGTCTTTCCAAAATTGTGCAATCTTCATCAGAAACGTGCTGCAACTCTTCCTCTAGTGCCAGCAAAACACAGTGACTTCACTCAATTGCGTATGCGGTTCGGAAATGTAACACACCCATCCACCCATATTCACACAAAATAAAACACTGACAGACTCCTCTTTCTCTTTTATCTCCAGCCTGTCGGACGAGCATTTGCACTGGTGCAGCCGGCCGTCGACAGGACCTCTCTGATCCCCGAACCCGTCAAATCTACAGAGGAGCAGGTGGAGGTAATCAAGGTGGGTGTGGCACTTCCACTGTAATTTGAGAAGGAACGAAATGGCGAATATTTGCTTTGTGATTAGGTATGTTTGTGTTTAACATCCGTGTCTCTGCCTTTGCCAGGTTTATTTAGAGGCACGCAATCAGGAGCAGCAGAAGCACCAGCAGAGCCTGAAGATGTTGTCAGATGAAGTTTCACAGATCCAAGAGGTCAGCACTAAAAACACACAGCAGGCTCTGGATTATGTAACAATTTGCATGTTAGCATCATGTAAATTTGCCTGTGCCTCTTCCACACTTGTATCTTTCAACATTCTCTGATACATTTCATACAAAAAGTATCTCACGACATGTGTGCATTTCAAACAGGTGAGGTACTGCCTGAAGACGCTGAGGGAGCAGATGGCAGCCAAAAGCAAGGTAGGTCTATTTTCAGATGCTCTGCTAATATCACATCCTGTGTGCTCAATGGCATTTTCTCCATGTATCTACACCTGCATCTTTCACTGCTTCCTTTCTCACTTCCTCCTTTTCTCTTCCCAGCCGCACACAAACGGCTGGAAAGTTGGCATTCCCTTCAAGAAGAGCGGCTTTTCTACCTCCAAGGGTGGAGCTAAAGCTGATGGACAGGTGAGCAGACTCTCTTTTGAAAGTTGTATTAAACTGTCTGTAATCTGAAACTCTTAAAAAATCTGACGTGCAGAAGTTAGACTCGTGTTTACATGCAGAGCGGTCACCACCCAAGGGCAGACAAAGAGTAAGAGAAGTTAAAGAGGGAAATGTGATAAAGCAGAAAAAGAATGGATTAAAATGAGTAAATATGCTTACAGCACCCCCTGGGTGTATGAAAATGTGTGTGAAAGCTGTTCCAGCACATGCTGTTCCTCTCCTCAAATGTGTTGTTGTATTCAGGCCCTTCTTATTGTTGCCAGCATTCCACAGATGGCTCTCCTTTATTCGCTGTATCGCTGAGCACCTTTAGCAACCTCTACTACTGTCTACATGTCACTCATGTTTGTGTATAAACAAAACGCGCCTGGCACCACTTTTTTTGTTGTTTTAATTGGTCAAATTATTTGTATTATTATTATTATTATTTGTATGGCTTGCTCATACGGAGGATTTGCAAACTGATCCAGTGACGCACACACTCACACGCCTGTTTCACAGCCAAAACCACTGAGCTCATTCGAAACTTAAACAAGACGACAAATTACATCAGCGTAAAACCATTTATCCATGTATTTAACCACCATTCACTATAGAATAGTTGTTTCTTAGTAAACCTGTGTACAATGTAATTTAATAAATCTTGGAGTTTTATTGTTTTAAACAGTAAATCAAGGTGGGTGAAGCTTTTTGACACTGATTAACGGCTGTCAGGGTTTCGTTCCAAATTGACAAAAAACTGATTTCTACGAATTGATAACAATTCATTACAAATATATAATTGTTTTCACCCATTCATGCAAGGAGTATGGACACTTTGGCGACAGTTAAAGCCATGACTGTCATATTTTGACATCTGGACAAGCTGGAGAACGAGTGAACTCCCCTTTTTGTTCAGTTTAACATTCCCAATGGGATTCAGATCTGGACACTTAATCTGACTCTCCAGGATATTGCAGTATTCATTTGCTGATCCAACCCTTCATATTCTCTTTGTTAGGAAGCAGATGACGAAGCAGAGAGAGCCAAGCTAAGGGAAGTCAGTAAGCGCATGTATGCACAGCTCCAGGAGGCGGAGAAGAAGCACCACGAGGAGAAAGAGAGGCTTCAGGTAACATACAGAGACACTTGCTTTTTTCACTTTCTCTTTGCATCACAACAAGTGGTGTTACACTGCGTTAAAGCCACAAAGTAAATACATTTCACCCTGTTTCCCAAAGGTTGAAAGCAGCAGGCTGAAAGAGCACCTGAGCAGCCAGGAGCAGAAGTTAAAGACAACAGAAGAAGCATGCATAAGGAAAGACCTGCGCATAGATGAGCTGCAGAGACTGCTGGGAGGAATGGAGCAGGAGAGCTCCACCCTGCGAGAGGCCATCCGCAACCGTGAGGAGGAACTGCGCGAGCTGCACAAGATCAGAGAGGAAGGCCAGAAAGGAGACCTAAGGTTAGTTTATACACTTAAACATACAAACAAAAACACACAGCAATAAATCATCTGTCAACAATCTACTCAGGATTAGTGTGTTATAACTCTCTGTGTGTATTTTTAGGGCTGAGCAGCTGGAGAGGGAGGTGGCCATTCTTAAAGAAAAGATCCACCATCTGGATGACATGTTGAAAAGCCAGCAGAGGAAAGTCAGACACATGATTGAGCAGGTGAGACGCACATGTGTGGGACTGAGTAAAGCAAACACCTCATCTCAGCGTTCATATTTGCAGAGGAGTTAGCTCACTGCCTGACTGTGTTTGTTCTGTCTTTAGCTCCAGAACTCTCGCATGGTGATTCAGGAAAGGGACCGTGTGATCAAAGAGCTGGAGGAGAAAGTGGCTTTCTTGGAGGCTGAGGTGAGAGATGCTTTTTTTTTTTTTGTTCTTTTTTTACTTCTCCTGTGAAATTATTATATATTTTTTTATTTTATCTGTGGAATGAAGAATGAAGGGTGAATTTAAAAGGGAGAACGATACTCTGCAGTATGACCTATTCAGGGAGAGAAGAGACATGTACAGAAAAGAGATGCAACCCTTTTCTTCTGGTAGCCATATTAGCTTTTTTTAAATGGTTATCATGAGAACTGACTCCTGACCTCCTGTGTGTGCAGAACCGAGAGATGCATGACCAGATGGACTACTTCCTCGGAGGACAACGGTCAAATTCCTACCTATCATCAGAGCGCAACCCCCAGATCGTCTATAGGTAACTTATTATGCTCACCCTCTTCACATTTCTTGCATCTGCAAACTTAGCAAACTCTTGACAGAGTCATGTCCTGCAGGGTCTTTTCTTGCTCATGCATGAGTCACAATTATTGCATTTATTACAGTGGTTAGTGTTTTAAAATAAACAGAAGAGCAAATATAAATGAAATGATGTTGAGAATCTCAGCCTGCATTTAGTAATTTTGGTAAAACAAACACAGAAACACATATTAGCGTATGAAAGAAACCTAATTCTCTTCTTCTCCTCTCCTCAGCAAACCGCTCAAGCCGTCCTCCTCGTCCAACAAACCGCTCCCTTTCATCAAAGTCATCGAGATAAAGTCATGAAGTGAATGAGAAGAAGAAACACGAAGAAAATGTACAGAAGGGTTCAGAACCACCAAACATTTTTTTTAGTACAGACTGAAACCAAACAGCACCACATCTTATCACATGAATGTTTGGGACTTCAGAGCTGAAACTTCCTGGATTGCAAGCATCATCAACGCTTATACTAAACCACAAACACTCCTGAAGGAAACTGTACGGTGTTTGCATTTATGTCAGCTTTAGAGTAAATTCAGAGTGTACCGACTCAGCTGATGTATGAAGTTTTACATGTGATACTGGGTTCTGCATGACTTGCCCCCTATTTTGATCGCTTTTATAACCTTTGAGTTTACGACATTGACGTTGTATCGCGACTAAAATAAGGCGCATAGTGCAGACGCTTTGTTTTGCCAAAGTGGGTTAGGACATTGTCAGTCAGGAATGTAGCAAACAAAACTAACTAAGCTAAAGCTCCATGTAAAAAAAAAAAATCATTAATAAGTCGACCTACTTCCTGCATCTTTGTACTCATTAGTCATTCACCCATGACTCCGTTCACTTTGTTGAGTGAATGGTAAATTGCTTTAAGCATGTAAATACTGACTGTAGCCTATAGAAAGTAGAAAACGTGCACTGAAAAGAGCTGTTTTTACATTCAAGCCCTTAACATTATGGCACCTTGTGAAACTGTGAGGAAGCAGAAAGAAGTGTCAGCAATAATGAAGAAATTTCAACTTATCTGCTTCAAGTGTCATTTTTGTTCTTAATATTTCTTGTAAAACATATCAGCTCAGTGCCGTTGTGTATAGTCATTTTGTTTTGTATATATTAATGTATGCTTGATGTTTTAACTACTCCCTAACAACTTTCTCCTTTGTATTTATTTATACAAACAAACTAGACAGATGTGTGACATTTTTTTTAAGTGTGTAATCTGTATTTGTGGCTCTCAGAATAAATGATTTAAAACGAAATGAAGGCCTTCTGGCTTCTTACAGGCTGAATTTACAAGTTTTAAATTGGATTTTGAAGAGAACATCGCCCTCTGCTGGACACTGAAACCTAGAAATGACTCCATTACAATGACCACATAGAAGAAAACTGCGCAATATTTGGACTGGATTCATTTATTTTAAAAGCTACTTACAATTAATGGCACATACAATTAAAACACCAAGGCCCAATAATACCTCCAAATGAAATGAACAGTTCACACATTTCAACACCAGTCACAAAGAAAGTCTTCCCCCTCACATACAGATAAATTAATGCACAATTACAGTATGAGCACTGTTGAATCACATTGCACTGAGAGAACTGATAAAATCAGAAAAGCACCTAATCATCAAAATCATTTAATCAAGTACAGTATGGCTTCTGTAAAAAAACAAACATTTAAGGCTAAGAACGGGCTGTCATGTTGTAGAGAATGAACAGCAGAGGCACTAAGAGACGTAAACATAAGTGACATTAACAGTGCAGGGCAACCAATAAAAATACTTTTTTTTTTTTTAAACATAATCTTTTTCAATACAGTTGGTTAATAGTAACAATTGTGCATAGGTGTGTAATAAATACTGATTGTCTTATCATTGCATAGCTCTATAGCTCTGGTTTGGTCAAATCAACCTTTCATATTATAGACTATTCTTCTAAAGCACTCACACATGCATTTATACAGAGTTCATAGGCAAAGGCTACACTTAGGTAAGAGGGTTATACCAGTAGTCTGATGTGCACTTTATTGTCTATCAGGCAGTTTGTGTTTGTATTTAAAGGCAGTGTTTATGTCGCCTCACTCTAAACTAAATGGCCAAAGTGACAGTTAATACAGTAGGCACTTTCATTCCTGGCAGCACTTCCTTGTCTTTGACCTGTCTTAAGGACGGGCTTCATAGATTTTTTATTTATTGATTTTTTTTAGAACGAGCTGTCCAGAGTGTTGTAGTTGTCTTTAAAGTTCTTCAGCTCCAGGAAGTGTCTGGGCCGCTTGCTGCGCTGCTGCACTGAGGATGTGAGGTAGGTGGTTTGTGTTGGGGAGGAGGAGCGTGTAAGCTCCGCGCTGCTGGTCAAGTCTTTGGCTGCAGACTGGTGGTGTCGGCTTGGAGAACTGCCGCTGTTGCTGTGAGACTTGACACTAAAAAAAACAACAAGAGGGAAACAGAATGTTCCTGGTACATAATTAACATTCCATCAAAGGATTAGGGATAAAAGGAAAATCTGTGAGGGAGCACTGTGAGGAGAGGTTGTGTTTATACTCACGCAGAGGCCAGTTCAGATAGAGCTTCCTGGTATTTTAAAAACTCTGCTTCACCAAAAGTCTAAAATAAAAATAACAATATAATAATAATAAGTTAAACATCAGTGCATACAGTATGTCAGCTTTTAAAGATACAGTGCACAGATGGATGGGCTGTATGATAAAGACTTTACTGATCATAAGGATACTATCAGTCATAACATTTTAATCATGAGCCTAGCAGCGTAGCATCGGTCCTCCTTGTTCCACCAAAACAGCTCTGACCCATCACAGAGGGACTTGACCAGACCTCTGAAGGTTTCCTATGGTATCTTGTGTCTATCAATATAAACCAGTTTCCATAATAACACATTACAGGCCACATACATATAGTCGATATTACATCTGCTAATAAAACACACTTAATGTCCTTAAATGATTTTCTCCATACCTCTAAACTCAATGTTTTTGATATCTTACACAAAGATGTATCGTATTAAGTATGATAAGACACCTCCTCACTGGCTAACTAACACACACAGAGACACTGACCTCTGCCCCATGACGTGCTTTATTGTACCCGTCCAGCACTGTGTCGATGAGGTTTTCTCTGAACATGCAGTGTGAATTTCTCAGCTGTAGAAGCCAGGTTCGTAGTCTTTGACCCGTCACAGCGGTGGACGTCCCACCAAGCTCACGGAAAGGGAGATCTAATGACATGACAGTACATGTGACAATCATCCGTCAATGCTACCACCATGTTAACAAAAAAAAAAAAAAACAAGTAAGGATCTGTAGCGGAAAAAAAAGTTCACCAGTGTCTCTGATGGCATCCAGTGCTCTCATCCTGTACAGATAGTCGTAGGAACCTGCAACACACACACAAACACACACATTGTAAGTTCTCACCTGGATATTTTAGGACTGGTGTGTATAAGTTCCTTTGTGTGCCCTTTTTACCTGACTGTCCACAGTGCTTCAGCCGGTCATCATCTGGAGAAATAAGACGAGGCTCAAAGTGGATTTTCTGAACTTGGCTCAGTTTGGCTTCAATTTTTTGCCTCAACTCCTACAGGACACACAGAAGACCACCATGTGTGATGAATCAGCAGGACACGAAACAGCATCACACTCCTCATTATGTTGGATGTGTATTACCTTAGGAGCGTTGTGGCCGAGGGGAACATGTGGTCCTCTGCGGGACTTCATGGCAAAACGCATAATTTGTCTTTTGACAAAGATGAACAGCAAAACAAACACCTAGAGGACAGCCAAGAGTTGAGAGCTTCTTTTAGGAGTAGTAACCAGGCAATGATGAACATAACTAAATAATAAAATAAGTATGTAGATTAAACTTACTACTAACAATAACAACAACAAAAGGGGGACCGGAGGGTGTGCTCCAATTATCGGGGTATCAAGCTTCTCAGCCTTCCGGGGGAAAGCTTACTCTAGAGTGCTGGAAAGGAGGCTCCGGCCGATTGTCGAAACCTCGGATAAAGGAGGAACAATGTGGATTCCGTCCCGGCCGTGGGACAGTGGACCAGTGGACCAGCGGACCAGCTCTTTACCCTCGCAGGGCTTCTTGGGGGAGCATGGGAATTTGCCCATCCAGTCTACATGTGTTTTGTGGATTTGGAGAAAGCTTTTGACTGGGTCCCTCAGGGGATCATGTGGGGGGCACTGCGGGAATATGGAGCCCCGGGGCCGTTGGCACTTGCCATCCGGTCCCTGTATGACCAAAGTGGGATGGTGTGTCCGCATCCTCGGCACAAAGTCAGACACATTCCCAGTGCGTGTCGGCCTCTGCGAGGGTTCCCCCTTGTCACCAGTCCTGTTTGATTTTCATGGACAGGATCTCAAGGAGCAGCCGGGGGGAGGAGGGTTTCCAGTTTGGGGGGCCTCAAAATTTCATCTCTGCTTTTTGCAGATGATGTGTTTTGTTGGCCTCCTCATGCTGGGACCTCCAGCAGGCGTTGGGGCGGTTTGCAGCTGAGTGTGAAGCGGCTGGGATGAGGGTTAGCACCTCCAAGTCGAGGCCGAGAACCATCTCTGCCGGAAAAAGGTGGATTGCTCTCGGCGTCAGCAGTAATGCAGGCCTTGTGCCGGACCGTTGTGACGAAGAGGGAGCTGAGCCTGAAGGCAAAGCTCTCGATTTACCGGTCGATCTTCGTTCCAACCCTCACCTATGGTCATGAGCTATGGGTAGTGACCGAAAGAATAAGATTGCAGATACAAGCGGCCGAAATGAGTTTCCCCCGGAGGGTGGCTGGGCTCAGCCTTAGAGAGAGGGTGAGGAGCTCAGACATTCGGGCGGAGCTCGGAGTAGAGCCGCTGCTCCTCGGCATCGAAAGGAACCAGTTGAGGTGGTTTGGGCATCTGTTAAGAATGCCTCCTGGACGCCTCCCTTTAGAGGTTTTCCAGGCACGGCCAACTGGGAGGAGACCCCGGGGCAGACCCAGAATGCGCTGGAGGGATTATATATCACGTCTAGCCTGGGAACTCCTCGGAATCCCCCAGGAGGAGCTGCAAAACGTTGCTGGGGAGAGGGAAGTCTGGGTTGACTTACTGCGCCTGCTACTACCGCGACCCGACCTCGGATAAGCGGAAAAGAAAATGGATGGATGGATGCACTAACAATAACCTATTCAAATGATTGCATTATTTAAAGTAAACATTTTGATGCATATTTCTGGGTGTAAAACAGGGCTCATTGTATTACATTTGTAATCAAGAAGGGGGATTTTTAAACGTGTTTTTACTCCTATCTCTGTAATCTTTTCCAAGAAGGTTTTTGTTGTTGTTGGGGTGCTGTTAGTTTTTTCTCCTACACAAGATCACAGACAAATAACGACCTGTTTGCAGAACATTTGGTAGAAGGATGAAGCGTGGATAAGGGATAAACGCTTGAACTTATTACATTTGGAGCAGTTTAAATCCAATTAACAAACAGGCCAACATTTCTTCCTTGGTTATATAAAGTCTTTTGTAACAACTTTTTGGGGAACAAGGTGCGATGTTGTGATGGGATTCTAGACTAAGCATCTGGTACTTAAACATTTTCTAAACGTTTTTCCCCAACTTTTAGAAATATAAATTAAGATATCAAGGCATATAGTAGGGCTCGGAATCTTTGGGTGTCTCAAGATTCGATTCGATTTCGATTCTTGGGGTCACGATTTCGATTCAGAATCTATTTTCGATTCAAAACTATTCGGGATTCATGGATCCAAAGTCTATTTTTGAATTAGTGTCATCTGTGAGACTGGCTGAACTTCTTGCTGCTCCATTTTTGGAAGTTATGAATTGATTTAAAATCTCAGAAGATAAGAATTTTTACATAAAACAGGGTTCGTACAGCTTTTTAAGAGTAAAATTTCAAGATAAAATGTCAACTCTTTCAAGGAAGCTGAAGCTTTAAACATAATTTTTTTTAAATTTACAGAATACAATTTTTTTTATTTGTTAAATTACAACACTGGTCAATATAGAGTAAATCCAGCATTTTCCAGCACAGTGTTCAAATTTCAAGCACATTTCAAACCTTGAGAACACTATATTTAAAATCAAGCATTTTCCAGACTTTCAAGGCTCTGTACGAACCCTGATAAAAAAAAAAATCTGTGCAGTTCAAGTTTATTCTAGGAAATGTTATTGACATGAGATAACAAAACAATTGAAAAAAAAGCAGCTTCCCAAACCTCCAAAACATTCTTTAAAAAAAAAAAAAAAAAAGTGTTATTTTAATAAACACACAGATGTGGCCTGCTGTCTGACTTCACTAAACTGTCTATCTAACATTGAAAGAAGGTAAATTATAATTGTTACTGTTCTATATAAAGAAAATGTGTTGTGTTTATATCTAAGACCACGCACAAATTGAACTGTGGGTATTACTTGTTGGTTGATGTGTGATGTTCTGCTATGCTCTAGTCAGATTATTTAAATATTAGGCTATATCGAGAAATGTTTGTAAACCTATTGAGAGATGAGATGAGATTCAACTTTATTGTCATTACACATATACAAGTATAGAGTAACGAAATGAGGTTTGGCATCTCACCAGAAGTGCAAATAAGCAGAAAGTGCAAGAGTCTGTGCTATGTACAGTAATTACAAAATTTACAGATGTAGACTAAAAAAAGTGAATTATTAGGTATATATGGCTGGATTAATGGGATGCTATAAATATAAATAAATGCTATAAATATAAGTGTATTTTAGGATTATAATATACAGATTAAGGTGCAGTGAGCATGCTATACTAGATATACTGCATATTCTGATCATAATGAACCTATGAAGGTTCATGATCATAATGCAGGCTTGTAATAAGCATAACACGCTTATGGGGGGTGGGTTGTATGACTGAGAAGATGATTTATTTTTCTGCACTTTGTGCTTCCGTGACTCTGAATTGAGACTTTTTCTCTAAAAAAAAATATTTTGGAAAAAAAAAAATTAATTCAGGTGTAAGCTATGAGTGTAACATACTGTGACGGTATCTCTGTTTATTCCAGAGTAGAGTGACGTGTTGATTGTTTTCAATTGTGACTGGACTTAGACATACCAATAACATCAAAACTGACTCACCAGACTCCCGAAGGCCATCACAAGCACCACGTTTATACTTGACAGAAGAGAATCGTTCCGCATTTTGAAACTGTGCGTTCATTAACCTCACTGACGTTAACGTAAACTACACGACACTTCAGAGTACGCCCGACAACTTTTAAAGCCACGCAGTTTCATTCAAGACTCCGTTTTTTAAAACACATTAACTTAAGTTAGACGACAGACAGACAGACTACAGAGAGCTGAAGAAAAGTTAAGGCGCTCTTGGATGTTACATTTCGCTGGCTTGTTGTCTTCCGCGTTAGTCACATGACTGGGGCTGGGCTACGTCGGCTCTGACGTTATTTTGGCCTCTGCTGCCTTCTGCCGTTCAATGACGTCTTCACGACGCTACACCCAACAAACAAACATAACAAACAAATCAACAAATAATGAAGACAGGTTTCATTTGAATATGATAAAGACCTGTGAACACAATTAAACAGGTGAAACACATTCACTTGTTAGCCTACATATTGATTAAGAATAATATGAGGAGGGTCACTGACATCATCATTTTGGGGCTAAAAGTGAGACTGACACCCAGGGCCCCAGTGGAGGTAGGGGGCCCTGGTTTGTAGGCCTTAACAAATGTTAATATGAGTGTAAAATGTAAGGTGATTGTAAATAATAAATATGGCTATAGATTACAAATGCTTTTATAAATTCCAACCTAAACAGCCCCTTTAAAGGAGCAGATGACAAACTGCCCTATTTGAAAGTCAACTTTCAGACTTTGGTTAGATTCAAACCTGTGCCAGGACATCAGTCAAATCACCTGCTTGATTTTTTTCATTATCATGCCACTTTACAGGATTATGGTCAGAAGTGGGACACTGGTGCACCCCCCTGGAGAATGTTGTTTTCTGCGGGAGGGCTATAACGTATGCAGCTGATATCTATGGTTGTTGATTCTATAATAAACTCTGACAGGGTCCAGTAGTTGTAAGTAGTAAAAAACTAAACTAAAACTGTGCTGTTCTGCATCCCACAAATTCCCCAAATCCAACAGCTGGTAACTTTTTCTTTCATAGCATAATGTGGTGGACATACATGAATTTCAACAAGTAAGCAATGCATTACTTCTTCTTCTTTTTCTTTTTCTACTTCTTCTTTTTTCTTCTCTTCTTCTTCTTCTCTTTCTTCTTCTTATTATTACAAACTTCCAGTAAAAGTGAATTTGCACTCCTCTTTTCTGAGTGAGTAACAGACATGTCTCGTCTATTGATTCTATTGAAACTTAATATATTGAACCTCTCTTTACCAAACTATGATGCTGTGTAAAATGTCTGATGTTCATAAAAATAATTAGAATAGACCACAGTGATATCCTTTCATTGGGCCCAGAATTCCTGGTAACACCCCTGGGGAGGGTTGACTATTTATATTAACTGGGACATACTGATTGATTAAATACCATGAATTTCCCTTTCTCACATAGTTCCTTAAGTCCTACAACCCAAAAAATGTATTAAAAAGAACCAGTGTGTCTGTGAGCACAACATGGATTTGCATCTATCCTGTGGAGACACTGAGTGCCATTATTCTGTCAGGAACAAGGGTGGGTGTCTGTTGAGTCATACTGCTGCTATTTACTCTTACAAACAGACTTATCACTGTCCTGAGAAGACAATGTAACCTACCCGACCTCTGCCATTTATTGGATCACAAGACATGGCCTAGCATCAGTATTTGTAACTAAGCATGTTTATACCCTTGACAGGCACAGAAATATGTTGAGACATCCTCTTATTTAGTGTTGCAGCACACCACAGTTTCCTCTGTCTCAGCGGAAGACAATAACAGGTGCATGCAAAAGAGCAACAGTGAGAGCATGAGCAGATTACCATCAAACAGTAAGTACAATCATTTTCTTTTTCTTTATATGTCTGATGCTAGTCTGCCTTATTCTTGTGTTTCAAAGGCAACTTGTTCCCATCCCACAGCAGAATCCAGCTTACAAACAATAGTTCTTCTTCTGTTTAAAACCTATCAGCAATCTCAGATACTTTACCCCCCCCGCTCCCACCCCAGTCTGCATTACAGTCCCACAGATTTTTAACAAATATGTTTCCAATTGAGCCTGTTAGGTTGAAAATGTGTCATACGAGAGGTGTACTTTCAACAATATTTATCCCTTGGTATTTCTCTGTCTGCATGAGCTCTTTGTTGTCTCTGGTCCCAATTAAAGGTGCACTGTTATTATGTATTTTGACACCAGCTAACCCAGATAATTAGACTCAGGTTTGCCTTAGGTGGGGTGATGATAATAAAAGACTGTGTTGCGAAATGTCATTCTTGTTCCGTTTCACACAACGATACAAGCTGTGACTCTTCTCCCTGGAGCTATATGAAATGCTTATGTGAGACAGAGTTTGAATTTTTTTTAGGGTGTGTAAGTTAGCATGTGACATGTATATGTGTGTGTACACTCTCGGCTGAGCTGTTAAGTGGGTGACACATTGAACTGTAGTCAGGAATGCTACCCTGTGAGAAGAGGAAGAGAGGGAGAAAACAACAATGAGAGGGGGAGGAGAGAGAGAGAGACAGACAGAGAGAGAGAGAGAGGGAGTACAGGAGGATAAACCAGTGTGGCAGGTTTGCGTCACTGCACAGTCCATCATGCAAAGCTGATGTAAAGAGAGGAATACAGAGAGAGAAGAGTTAGGAGTTGATGTCATTACAGAGAAAGCTGCCTTCAGTATGAAGCTGTGTCAACACCGT